TAAAACGAAACTTACAAGCTTAAAGTGGGAACAACATAACTTTTACTTAAACTCTATGGACTAAAATGTAATTAAAAAAACTAGTATCAAATTAACAGTACGCGACCTGGCAACTTCACACAAAACTTATAGCAGTAGTCACATTGCTCAACTATAAACCCTAGAAGAAATGTTGAGAAGAAGAATCACTTCACTACTATCATCGTCTACCCTCCAAAATGTTCCAATCTACAGCGAACCCATCAAGATTTCTCATCACATATTCACATCTTCACAAAAGTTTCCATTTTTGCAATTTTCTCAACGCCCCATCTCCAGCATTGGATCGTTGGGGTGTCAGTTTCGCAGAGCTTACAGTCTTCTGAGCCTAAATGATTTGCAAGATAACAAAGGTGCTAGGAAGCAGAAGACTCGTAAGGGAAGAGGTATTGGGTCGGGTAAAGGAAAGACGGCGGGTCGAGGACATAAGGGTCAGAAAGCTAGAGGGACATATAAGTTCGGGTTTGAAGGTGGACAAACCCCACTTCGTCGCCGTGTGCCTAAACGTGGGTTTAAGAACCCATTCAGTCTCACATTTCAGGTATTTTTACTCTTGGGTGGATTGGGATTTCTGTTTTTGGTTTGATTTCGTGCTTATAGCTGGGATCACGTCAAAGTTCAATTTTTGATTAGTCTGAACGTTCTCTTGAAAAATGTTACATTAAATAACATTAAAATGATTAGATAGAGGGTAGAACATTCATTGAGTAAATATGAGATTTCACAAATTAGTTTCTAGTTGCTTGCTGATAGAGTAAAGGAATAATTGTTCCATAACCAGGGTTCTACTTTTTGTTAATGTATGGAATCAATAGAAAGTAAGACATGTGAAATGGGTGTGGCAGTTCGGAAAATTTGGTAGTTTGTATGTGTGTTATGTGAAGGTCGTACTGAATTAGCCATTTGGTGTTATCTTATTGCGTCTGTTTATACTTTTTAGCTTTGTAGTACTTACTTTTTGTTACGTATGTAGTACTTATTGCAGCTTTCTTGATTTCAGACTCTGTAGCTTCTTCTTTCCTAGAAATGATATTGTTGTGTAGTGATCCAGTAAAAAGGGTAGGTCTTGACTCACTAAATCCATCTGTGATCTTAAGCTCTTCAAGTTGTAGCTTTTGATCACTCTGTCATCAATCAGAACTTGTCCCTTTATTGGATCATAGAATCTGTCTATCAAGCCAATAATTCCAGAACCACTTTGCCCAACAAGTAGTACTGTTTTTCCAGATTCGTGCCTGGGTAGATTGATTGATCAGGCTTAGAAGGATGATAAAAGAAGACATTCTTCAGCTCTATCTTTCCTCTTTATACCTTTGTGACTTAAAGCCCTTCAGCATTCTCAAATTCAATCTCAGTTTTCGATCGAAGATGGCATATACAGATGCAATGGCACTGCTACCTGTTGCAAAGTCAGAAGTCATACTTTCAGAATCTGCTATATTTTTCCCGGTACTCATCAAAAGGAAGAAAAGTTGAAACAGTTGCTATGAACTGAGTAAGTTTTTGTCCATTAGTCTTCCCCCATAACAATATGTTAGGGCAATGGCAGCTGCGGTTAGAAATTGAGAGCAAAACAAACCAGCACCAGAAAGTAGTGACTGTCTAATATTTTCTTTTCCTGGGCTTCCTGAGATTTTTCAAAGAGGTCTAACATTCTATATTGAGAAGAGAAGGCTGTGATAGTCCTGTGATTGATCACTGCTTCACTTGCTAGCCTGAAGAAGCTTTCTAAGAGTAAAGGTTGTATAGATTTTACTACAACTTCTACTTAAATATGTTGTTAGCACCATACAGGTGCCATCAATTATCATGACAGGAGGAGGCACATCTTTTTCTTACTAAAATTCCCCCTTTTTTGGATGGTATATGGTAAATACGTCACTAATTATTTTGTCATTGAGTAAAGATATGTGAATATTTGTTTAGTTATTAAAACCACGATGGCTTTAAAACCTTGGAGTAATGTTAGTGGTTCCTTCTGATTAATTGTTCCTTGTTTATGTGCTCCATGCAGCCAGTTGGGTTGGGAAAGATTGCAAAGCTGATAAATGCTGGGAAGATTGACTCGTCAGAGTTGATCACAATGAAAACTCTAAAGGTAATTGTAGCTTATGGTGTAAGTATAGCTTTATATTGCTTAAGCATTTAGCACCTTCCTTTACAAATCAACTTCTTATGCCAATAGGATTCCGGTGCAATAGGGAAGCAAATAGAAGATGGAGCCAGGTTGATGGGGCGTGGAGCTGAACATATTCAGTGGCCCATCCATTTAGAGGTAATATTCAGTCAAGACTAATTAATATAGCCTTTTTTTATTCAATTTGGTATTCATTGTTAAAAAACAATACTCCCTCTATTCCATTTTAACTAAATTCTGAGGCAATACACACTTGGTAAGAAAAACATTGAAGGACATAATTTTCACTATTGTCCTTTGTGATTTCATAAATATAACTTTGCAATTAGTGGAAGTTATCTCCTAGAAAATATCAAACATCATTAAAGGGATAGGCGACTATAGGAAAAATTTCAAACATCCATCTTGAACTTTGAACAATTCAATTATTTTGAACAATGAAAACAGACCTGAAAATTCAATTAATATGGAATAGAGGGAGTAATTTTACATTTGGTAGTGCACGTCATATAGAGGTCATTTGGTAGAAATAACATTAATTACAGTTTGCGTTTGAGTTGCAAAGTGGTTCTCGACCTGTACTGCTATTTATAGTAAATGTGTTGCAAGGTATAAGTATTTGTAAAAGCTCATGTCAGTTTAGCACTTTCAGAAATGTGCTGTGTAAATATATTGATGGTGGAGATGGGATATTTTCTTGTTCCTTAGACATGGATATGTTTGGCATGATCCTTTTTTCTCTTTGTTTATGGTATCAGTTTATTGAGAATATGCATCACATTTGCTTGCTAGAATGGCCAATGATGTCTGTCATCTCAGTGTACTCATCCAACACTAACTGCTAATGACAGGTCTCAAGGGTGACCGCTAGAGCTAAAGCAGCCGTGGAAGCAGCGGGTGGGTCTGTAAGGAGAGTGCATTACAACAAACTTGGGTTACGGGCACTACTGAAACCTGAGTGGTTCGAGAAAAAGGGCAGGTTGCTCCCAAGACCAGCAAGGCCTCCACCAAAACTGAAGGATAAGGTGGATAGCATTGGGCGGTTGCCTGCCCCAACCAAGCCACTTCCTTTTGTAACTGAAGAGGCTGAATCCATGTCTGCTACCCCGGCTTGATAGTGACTAGCTTTCTTCATGTTTTATAGATCTAGGTTCCATTGCAAGGGAGCAGTTTTTGGCTTCATGTAGCTTCCCTACAGCCTTTATACTTGGTTTTGAGTGTTCCCCAATTGCCATAGATATTCAGAAATAAAATCTTTTCACTTGCTGAAGTTTTTGAGTGACCTTAAGTTCACTCAAGGATGTATTTTCATAGGTATTTCTGGATTCCGAACTATATAACTTTTGCTTCTTTAGATTGAAACCAAGTGTCTTAATATTTCATTCCAAAAGCAGGTGTATGAAGATGAAACTTTTCTCTAGAGATGGCATCTCTTTTCTTTTACATTCCAATGTCTACCTTTTCTATTGGTAAAGCTTTGATGTTCTGAAGATTACAATTTGTATAATTTAGAGCAAAGTGGACTAATTAATTAATGAGAAGATTGATTTCATCTAATGTTTGATTGGTCATAAGTTCTAATTATGGTGCCTCAATATATTGGCTGCTTTGCATTTATAAAGATTATGTGAAATAAGAAAGGAGAAAGCTCGAGAGAGTCATATCCTGAAGATCCTGCAATATATCTCTTGATTTCTTTCCTTAGATAGGATTCTTGTAACCTTATATATTCCTTCATATTCATGAATAGAATCATTAAGTTCTTCCAGTTCCGGCAGCCTGGGAAGAGATCTCTGCTGTTGCCTTCCACTTGCTGGCATGGTTCGGCAGATTTGATGCTGGCTTGCTGCTCCACCATTGTCTTGTCATTCATGATCCCTTACGTTATTCTTCTGGTGTTGAATCTCTATTTGAAGGTGTGCTTTTTCACTTTGTCTCGTTCACAGTTTCGTGTTATTGCCTTGGAACTGTTTTGGGTGAAGGTTCAGTTTTTTGGGAAGAAGCTGCTAGTTTCTTGAGGAACACACTAGTTATTTGCCCTCGTTGTCAGTTTCTTCACTAAACAGTGGTTGAAAATGTCTGATGATAAAGTTTCTCCCTCTTTAACATTATCCAAAATTACAGATTATAAATTAAATGGGTCTAATTATTTAGATTGGAGTAGGAAAATCAGGGTCTACTTGCGTAGTGTTGAAAAGGATGGCCATCTTAGTCAGGACCCTCCAACTGATGAAACTAAAAATGCTTGGATGAGAGATGATGCTAGACTGTTCTTGCAAATTATAAACTCTATGGACAATGAAGTAGTTGGTTTGGCTCATCACTGTGAATTTGTTAAAGAGTTGATGGATTATCTAGAGTATCTATATTCTGGCAAAGGTTGTGCATCTCAAATTTATGAAGTTTGTAAGGCTTTCTACCATCCCGAGAAGGAAGCTAAGACACTCACCATATACTTCATGGAGTTCAAGAAAATTTATGAGGAACTGAACATGCTTTTGCCATTTAGTACTGATATCAAGGTGCAACAAGCTCAGAGGGAACAAATGGCTGTAATGAGTTTCTTAGCGGGACTTCCCACTGAGTTTGAGACTGCTAAGTCACAGATACTCGCCAGTTCTGAGATCACTTCTCTCAATGATGTTTTCAGTTGGGTGCTGCGTACAGAGAGTACTCCATCCAATCAGCAAACCAAAGTAGCTGTTGCAAAAGGAGAAGAAAAAAATGATGCTAGAAGAAACTGTTTTGTGAGTTAATTCTTTTGGTTGTCTCCTTTTCTTAAACTATTTTGTGAATCCCATCTTAAATTCATCGATGGGACAATGGACATGTTATGTTGATTGCAGTTTCAGGCAATGTCAAAATGCTTTTTAGCTGGAAGAGAAACTAATGTTGAAGCTGCTGCAACATCAACAGATGAATGGGTGGAACAGTATCAGCCCGGTGTCTACGTAAGATTGACAATGCTGCCAAGTGGAAAGAAGGGACTGAAGGGATTTAGGTTCAGGTATATTTTCTTTCATAAGTTGTATGAAACACAAACTTCCACCTTTTCTGCTCTTATTAAGTCTTATGATTAAAATCCTCTCACTTTAAACATCCTTTGTTAGTATGTTAAACTGCTTACTAGATGTCTTTTTGATTGAATTTTGCAGTAGGAAAAAGTTTACTGTGAAGGAAGTAGAGAAATGGTGGAAAGAAAACAAGCTTTCTGTCTACAAGAATTATGATATTGAAGATGATTACAATGGTGGTTCATGTTAGACAAGTGATTTAATCACTTAATGTGCTTAATATGTGAGGAGAAAAGTGCTATGTTGTACTGCCTATGGAATATGTAAAGACTATCTTAAGATTAATTGGTATTATTTGAGAACTCTCTTTTCCCTAAATTATGTTTTTTATTCCAAATATTTTAATTCAAATTCTTCTCACTTAACTGTTTTGTGTCATTTTCAATATGTAAATTTTATTTCAAAAATTAAGAAACTGATGGCCAATTTCAGAAATTAGATGTTTTGATTTCCTGTCATATTTCCATATGTTAATAAGAAACCTCTTGATGAAATGGAAAATATTATCATATTGTTACACAATGAAAGGCAACTCTACCCATAACATTCTCGTTTGGTTGAAAACAAGTTATCCCGAGATAAGTTATCATGAGATAAGTTATTCCACTATGTATATGAATAACTTATCACATCACTAAGGGCTCGTTTGGTGTGAGGTATAATAATCTTAGGATAAAATATAAGATTATATTATCTCATGTTTGGTTGGAGGTATTAGATAGTTATTGGATTAGTTATCCCACCATTTTTGCCATAGTGATGGTATAAGTTATCTCATATACATAGTAGAATAACTTATACCAAAATTAGTTATCTTGGAATAACTTGTTCCCAACCAGACGAGGCTTAAGGTATAAATGGTGGGATAAATAATTTCAGGATTGCTTAATATCTCCAATCAAACACAAGATAAAATAGTCATACATTTTAAGCCTGGAATTATTATACCTAATACCTCACCCTAAAGAACTCTTGTTTAGAACTGAATGGTCAAATTCTTTGGCATGGTATTAGAGTCACACACTCACACTCTTCTATTTATTTATTTATTCTAATATTGCTTGGGGTTTTTCTTTCTCAAATTACTCTATCCAGTGGTTTTGAGTTTTGAATCCACTTCACTGAAAATAATACGACGCAAATTTTGGTTATAAAAAAATTCTTGATTTTCCATTCGCTGACCCGTTTCTACTGGACTCGTCTTAATGTGTTAAGTGTAAAATATATTTACAATCCAGTCAAGTAAAAAAGAATTATAGTTATATTGAGTAGTAACTTCGAAAAAAGTAAGTTACATGGAAAAACATTAAACAGCGATTGATATAAAGGTACTTGTCTATCCTAATGATCAAGATTGTTCTTTTTGGTTTTCCTCATAGTCTTTCTCATTTGGTATTTGTGTCGTGAGATAGTGAATATTCTCATGGGTTGATCATCAATCAGACAGAAAGAAAAGAATGATACCAATACCTCAACCATTCACCCAAATGACAACAAAATTCCTTTCTTTTCTTATTTCTTTAGGAGAAAGTTTTGTTCTTTCCTCTTTTCCTTTTAACAGTTTATCTTTGTCTCTTGCTAATTACCTATAAATTCCCAAAAAATCTCAACAAAAATCACAAGTCAATAAAAACACAATTCTTTGTGTAAATATCAATACCTTAAGCTTTTATAACTCGCTGAAAATGGCTACTACACCAGCCTTGAAGAGATCAGAGTCCATAGCTGATAGCATGCCAGAAGCGTTGAGGCAAAGCCGGTATCACATGAAGAGATGTTTTGCCAAATACATAGAGCAAGGCAAGAGGATGATGAAACTGCATAGCTTGATGGATGAATTAGAGAAAGTGATTGATGATCCAGCTGAGAGGAACCATGTTTTGGAAGGTTTACTTGGCTACATATTATGTACTACAATGGTATAGCAAGAACCATGTGCTGCACTTATAATAGTTTTCTTCTTTTATTGTTTCCAGATTTTGCATGATGTACATTTGTTCTTAAAATCTTCTGTGATCAAATTTTGCAGGAGGCTGCAGTTGTTCCTCCCTACATTGCCTTCGCCACGAGACAGAATCCCGGGTTCTGGGAATATGTGAAAGTGAATGCTAATGATCTTTCTGTTGAGGGTATTACAGCTACAGAGTACTTGAAATTCAAGGAAATGATAGTTGATGAAAGCTGGTATAGAATACATTGCAGCTTTTATCATACCTTCTATGGTTTAATACCTTCAATCAGAAAAGTGAAAACTCATAAGGATTACCTTTGTGTGAACATGAAATGCAGGGCAAAAGACGAATACGCACTGGAAATTGATTTTGGAGCCGTAGACTTCTCAACGCCTCGTCTGACTCTATCTTCTTCAATCGGAAATGGTCTCAGTTATGTTTCCAAGTTTCTAACTTCAAAGCTAAATGCTAGCTCCACGAGTGCACAGTGTCTAGTTGACTACCTGCTCACGTTGAACCATCAAGGAGATGTATGTCAAGCAAAACTAAACTTCATAAATGAACACTTGTCCTAAGAGGAAAAGATAATAACAAATTTCCTTTATGTTCAACTGCAGAAACTGATGATCAATGAGACGCTCAGCACTGTCTCAAAGCTTCAGGCAGCATTAGTTGTAGCAGAATCATCTATTTCTTCCATACCAACTGATACACCATATCAGAGCTTTGAGCTAAGGTTAATTAGTTTTTCCTCTACTTCCTCCCCCTTTTGGCATGCTACAAAGTACTAAGTGGCTTCAATTCTTGTACAGATTCAAAGAATGGGGTTTTGAGAAAGGCTGGGGTGATACAGCTGAAAGAGTCCGAGATACCATGAGAACACTTTCTGAGGTGCTTCAGGCACCAGATCCATCAAACTTTGAGAAATTCTTTGGAAGGGTTCCAACTGTTTTCAATATTGTATTGTTCTCTGTTCATGGATACTTCGGCCAAGCTGATGTTCTTGGCTTGCCAGACACCGGTGGTCAGGTAAGCATCTAACTTTTACATACTTCACTGTAAAAGAATTTTTAAACTATCAGGTCACCTAAAAGATAATCACAAGTAACCTCCATTAGAAACGGAATAAAATACCTACAAAATTCAAGAAGGTTACCTGCTACAATAGGTTAAAATACACTATTATTTACACTTATCATATTATATAAGTTAAATCCGTTGCTTTTGATCAACAGGTGGTTTATGTTTTGGATCAAGTTGTAGCTTTTGAAGAAGAAATGCTACAAAGAATTAAACAGCAGGGACTCAATGTTAAGCCTCAGATTCTTGTGGTGAGTTCCCAGACAATCGACATGAGTATGCAATAAGGAAGAGGTTGTTTAGAAAAGCTAATATCATATCTTGATTGCACAGTTAACCCGGCTAATCCCAGATGCAAAAGGAACAAAGTGCAACCAGGAACTAGAACCAATCAAGAATACAAAGCATTCTCACATCCTCAGAGTTCCATTTAGGACAGAAAAAGGAGTGCTTAATCAATGGGTTTCTCGATTCGATATCTACCCTTATCTGGAGAGATATACTCAGGTGTGTATCTTTATATAAACCTTGCTCATCCAGAGTTTTTCTTTCTTCCTAAATTACATTTTCTTTTTGCCTTGACTAAAGGATGCTTCTGACAAAATCATCGAGCTAATGGAAGGCAAGCCTGATCTAATCATTGGTAACTACACTGATGGGAATTTAGTGGCATCATTAATGGCTAGAAAACTTGGGATAACTCTGGTAACTTTCCCTAATCTTTGTCGATATTGTTTCTTCCCCAAGTTAGTGTCTTAATGTCCACTAACCTAGACCATCTCTGTACTAGGGAACAATTGCTCATGCTCTGGAGAAGACTAAATATGAAGATTCTGACATCAAATTAAAGGAACTCGATCCAAAGTACCATTTTTCGTGCCAATTTACAGCTGATTTGATTGCAATGAATTCTGCAGATTTTGTTATCACAAGCACATATCAAGAAATAGCTGGAAGGTAAGAACTAGAGCGGACGAGTAATATAAAATTAGAATTGTTCTTTTACTACCATCAAATACACATCACAAATCCAGTTATGTATTTGCTCTAATTATTGAAACTTCATGGATCTCATTCTTATGTGCTTACATTTGCAGCAAAGACAGGCCAGGGCAGTATGAAAGTCACAGTGCATTTACCCTTCCAGGGCTTTATAGAGTTGTTTCAGGCATCAATGTCTTTGATCCTAAATTTAACATTGCTGCTCCTGGGGCAGACCAGTCAGTATATTTCCCTTACACAGAAAAGCAGAAGCGTTTGACTGATTTCCGACCTGCCATTGAGAAGCTTCTTTTTAGTAAAGTGGATAATGACGAGCACATGTAAGTCTTAGTGCTCAAACTTCAGTTTAATGCCAATAGGAACATCCCACAATTCTACGTAATAATGTTTTACTTCTTTCAACCACAGCGGATATTTAGAAGACAGAACGAAACCTATTCTCTTCACCATGGCAAGGCTGGACACAGTGAAGAACACAACTGGACTAACTGAATGGTTTGGCAAAAACAAGAAGCTCAGAAGCTTAGTTAACCTTGTTGTGGTTGGCGGTTCCTTTGATCCTACAAAATCCAATGATAGAGAAGAAGCAGCTGAAATAAAAAAGATGCATGTGCTGATAGAGAAATACCAGCTTAAAGGTCAGATTAGATGGATAGCAGCTCAGACTGACAGATACAGGAATAGCGAACTCTACCGCACAATAGCAGATTCAAAAGGAGCTTTTGTGCAGCCTGCTTTGTATGAAGCATTTGGTCTTACAGTCATTGAAGCAATGAACTGTGGATTACCAACCTTCGCTACCAACCAAGGTGGCCCTGCTGAGATTATTGTTGATGGTATCTCAGGCTTCCATATTGATCCAAATAATGGAGATGAATCAAGCAACAAAATTGTTAATTTTTTCCAGAAGAGCAGGGAGGATCCTGAGCATTGGAACAGGATTTCAGCCCAGGGTCTAAAGCGTATATATGAATGGTAACTCACAAATAAACAATTGTTCAAATTGCAAAGAGGCATATGTCTTGTTGACATTTTCTTAATCCTTTAATCCTGATATTTTGCAGTTACACATGGAAGATCTATGCAAACAAGGTATTGAATATGGGGTCAATCTACACTTTTTGGAAGACATTGTACAAAGATCAGAAACAGGCAAAGCAAAGATACATAGACACTTTCTACAATCTCGAGTTTAGAAACTTGGTATATTGCTGCATGCCTGCATTTCATTATATTCCAAACATCCTTATGAGATATACTTTTCTTATTTTGTTTCCTAAATTACACTTACTGCAGATAAAAGATGTGCCTATCAGAATTGACGAAAAACCAGAAGGACCAAAGGAGAGGCCCGAGAGGGTGAAAGTTAAGCCACAGTTATCACAAAGGTATGCACTAAAATGTTTTTCAAGAGACGAGTACTAAATTAGAACCATACAGCAAATAGCTTATTATGTCAATCAAGTAGACAATCAACAAATTTGGTTGTTTCTTTCCTATATGCTTGACTGTTAATACTCCTACATGGTTTATGGGTTGTCTTCCTTCATTGTTTTTTCCTGTACTTCTTTCCCTACAACTGTACTGATGTATCCATTTTTTCTATGGTACCAGGCGCTCACAATCAAGGTTGCAGAAGTAAGATTTGATACAATTGCTACTGCATGAATCACGGATGTGTCTATTTCTTTTATCCTCCCTCCCCTTTTGAGGAGGTTACTAACGATTTGAAGTGGCATCCTGCAGGTTGTTTGGATCATCGAACAGCCAGTCATGATACTTGTTCCCTCATTGTCAACAGAAACACGCAAATAAAGAGAAAGCGTAATTTTTTTTAAAGTGTGATTTGTAATTCAATTTCAAGACAGAATAAATGAAAACCAGCAGTGGCTGTGTCTTTGCTTGCTTCCAAATTCCAGTTTGATTGCTCAAATCTGTCTTTTGAATATTGGAAGTCCAGTGTTTTACTTGCACAAGTATGGATATTCTCAGCAAGTAAATCCCTCTTATTCAAAAAGTGTAAATCACAACTTCAACCAATAATGAAACACAGACAAATTATAGAAGATGTTTCAGAATTCAATCAATTTTTCTCAAATTGTAAATTGGAAAAACAATATGACAATCAAATTCTTAAACAGAAATAACACCAGCTTACAAACTTGGGTGTCTACCCACAAAAATTTTAAGAAAAGAGGTTGAAATGGTGGTGCATGACTTGATTGACAGATTACTGAGAGTGCATTTGGGTAAAAACTGTGGATTACACAAATGAAGAATGTTAAGTGCGGCTGTGCGAGGCTAGATAGAGTTGAAGCAAATGAGAACCACAGAACATAACATAATAACGTAAAACAATCCTAAAGGAAGTAGGTTATTTCTACTAGAATATGGACTGGTTTACCGAAAAATTCCATACGCACATGTACCTGTTGTCCAAGGAACTTGCTAACTAATGGCAATAAACTTCATACTTCACCAAGGTATTTAAGTTCCTGAGACTATCTTAAGATAAAGTAATAAAGAAGGAAACACAAGAAATGTTTAAGAGTTTACAGGAAGATCTTCAGTAAAGCCTAGGCATCGACTAACGGAATCAAAATTAAAAAACAAATCCCTTCAGCAAAGCTGACAGCACATTACTACTAGTTAGTAACAGAAAAAAACTCAATTGCCAAACATGTTACCACTTCACTTCCATTATGTTTGAACCCTCCACTCTATCTACCAACTCCATCATTCACCCACCTAGCTCCATTTTTCAGCAGATACCATTATAGAAACTCCCAACACTTGACCCCTACAATAGCATATGTAGCAATTCCAACTTTAATGAACAAATACAGTATCATTCCTCCTAGGTGGTCTGTCGGGAATACTTCCTGGCTTGAACTTCGAAGCCTCGTGTCGGGCAAGTTCTGGGGGAACAGGACTGTTGCTTTGTGTGAGCATTTGTTTAAGATCATAAAAGACTTCAGTATCATGCATGGTCAAGAATGTTGTGGCTACACCCGTCTTTCCTGCACGACCTGTACGTCCAATACGATGGGTGTATGCTTCAATATTGTTTGGCATATCATAGTTTATCACATGGGCCACATCAGGTATATCAATACCACGACCAGCAACATCAGTAGCAACTAACACATTGTACCTCTTGGTCCTAAATCCTTCAAGGCTGATTTCTCTTTGCTCCTGAGACTTTCCACCATGCAGTGTGGTTACCCTGTAGCCATTTTTATCCAGATTCTTGGCAACAAAATCAGCCTGCTTCTTAGTGTTGATGAACACAATAGCCGTCTTATCTCCAAGCTCATCCAGCAATTTCTGCAGCTTATACATTTTCTCTGATTCCTTTACCATGAACACGTGCTGAGTGATGAGGTCAGTAGTCTTTCCAGCAGTGCCAATAGTCACAACAACAGGATTTCTCAAGTATTTTCTAGCCAGCCGCTCCACAGCAGGTGGCATGGTAGCACTGAACATATAAGTGGTTCGATAAATCCTCTTCTCATCAAGCTCTTCATCCTCATTCTCCGGTTTCATATTACTTGAAGGCATAGCATCCAGTACACCAACCACTTGAGGCTCAAAACCCATGTCAATCATACGGTCAGCTTCATCAAGAACAACATAATTACACTGGTTCAGAACACAATAACGTCTCTCCAAGCAATCAAGAAGTCGCCCAGGGGTTGCAATCACAACTTCACAACCTTGCCTAATCCTAAAACCTTGCTCCTCTATGGACTGCCCACCAACAATAGAAACAACTTTGATACCCAAATAGTGTGCGAACTTGACAGTCTCATCCTCAATTTGTTGAGCAAGTTCTCGTGTGGGGGCCATAACAACAGCATATGGCCCCTCCGCCTCATTCTCCTCACTCAATGGAGGAAGCCTAGTGATATAAGTCAACATAGGAAGAACAAAAGCAGCAGTTTTACCTGAACCAGTCTCTGCGACACCAATCACATCACGCTGTTGAAGTCCAAGCGGAATGGCAGCCATTTGTATGGGGGACGGCTTTTTGTAGCCAGCCCTATCAACAGCCTTGAGCAACTCAGTAGTTAACTTGCTCTCGACCCAATTCCTCATGGGACGGGGTATCCTCGACCCCTTGTAGGATATATTGTGATCCTCCCTGAATATCCTCCAATCTCTCTCCGTCATTTCCTCCAGCTTCTTGTCTGACCAATGGCGATCGACCCTCATGTCAAAAGTGTCATACATGTCGGCATCCTGTTCCTTCTTCTTCAGGGCAGCTGCTTCTACTGCAGACTCCTCAACGCCATCCTTCTTCCAGATCTCCTCCCGCAGCTCCCTCTCATTCTTGGCAGCAAGCTTCTTCTGCTCCCTTCGGTCCATTCCAGCACGGAATCCGCGACCAAAGAGTAAGCGGGCTTCGTGAGGGTTTTGGTATAGAGCGTTCATGTCGCGAGATGTGTCCTCGGTGTTCTCCCAATCAAAGGAAAATCGGAATTTCTCACTAGGTTTAATCACCCGCTTCTTAGGTTTTTTGGAGCCGAGGTACTGCTCTTTGATTGCATCAAGCTCTTTCTCTCGCTCTCGCTCAGCTAATTTGTCCAATCGAGCTCGCTCTCGTTCCTTGACCTCTTCGTCACGCTCCCTATCGCGCTTCCGGCGCTCCACCTCCCGGTCCCTCGACTCCCTTTCTCTTTCTCTGTCTCTGTCCCTGTCCCTGTCCCTGGAGCGATGGTGGTCACCCCTACTATCTCTGTCACGATGATCTCGTTCATGATCGTTATCGGTGGAGGAAGGGCGGTTGTTACCCTGTTGTTGGAGAAGCTGTTCGGCCCGCCGTTTCTGTTCGGCGATTTCATCGTGGCGGCGCTGTAGGGCTAGCTGCTCTCGCTGTGCTTTGGTGAGGAAGACGGGCTTCTTCGTCGGATCCGGTTTGGTAGTTCCGAGCTCGTCCACTGACCGACTCATACCGTCCGGCTGATGCAGATAGGGTTCTTGTACAAGGGAAAAGTCGCGATACTGTTTTCTCCTTCTGATTACCAATTAGGGTATTTTCATTCTGCGGGTACAATATTTCACTTGAGTTGTGAAGGACTCCTATCCTATATATGCATCACGCTTCATAAAACAATCTAGTAATCGTGATGTTCAGGACAGTTTTTGCGCACATTAAAATTAACGTAAGAAAATAATTTGGTAATTGCGATGTCTAGGTCTATTTTTCCACGCATTAAAACTAACACAAGAAAATAATATGGTACTCGCGAAATTCAAATCTGTTTTCGCGCGAATTAAAACTAACAAAGAAAAGTAATTTGATAATCACAATGTACATGTCTGATTTCGGGCGTATTAAAACTAATACGGGAAAACAATTTGGCAACTGCGATGTTCATGTGTGTTTCGCGGGTATTAAAACTCACACAGGAAAACAATTTGGTATATGTGATGTCCAGATCTATTTTCGCGTGCATTAAAATTATTACGAAAAATAACTTGGTAATCGTAATGTCCAGATGTGTTTTCACGTGCATTAAAATTAACACAAAAAACAATTTGGTAACCGCAATGTCCAAGTTTATTTTCTCCCTCATTAAACTAACATCCGAAAACAATATGGTAACCACGATGCCAGGTTTAATAACCGCGATATTCAGGTCTATTTCGCGTGTATTAAAGTTACATAGGAAGTAATTTGGTAACCACAATGTTCAAGTCTATTTTCACACACACTAAAATTAACACGAAAAATAATTTGACAACTGCGATGTTCAAGTGTATTTTAATGCGCAATAAAACTAACGAGTTAATATCTCATATGGTTACTCAACTTTGAATTGTTCACTTAGAAAGTCACCCAACTTTGAGTTGTTCACTTAGAACGTCAAACTTTGAGTTGTTCACTTAGAAAGTCATTCAACTTTGTTTTTTAACTCAAATGTCAGTCAACTATTGATGTTTCACTTAGAAAGTCATACAACTATTGATACTTCATTTAGAAAGTCGCTCAATCAATTCAAATATTTTTTTCATAAATAAATTTTTATTGAAATTTAATTTTTATGTTACACTATTTTTTTTTAAAGAAAGAATAAGATATTTATTTTAACTATTTTGTTAATCCAAATTATTTAATTATAATTATTTTTAAAAAAAACGTACCATAGCAATTGACCCCAAAAAACCTTTTCCGTTTTAGCAATTATATAACTGGAATTAAATATGTTAGAAAATGATCCAAAAAAAGAAGAAGAAGTTGGAATTGATAAGAAGTAATAAAAAATACGCAGTACTACCCTTATTTTAAAAAATAGGTAAAAAGAAAAATTATACTTCAACAAAATTCAATAAAATAATTAAATAAGCATCTTATTAATTTTTTAAAAAAATAGTTAATTTTTTTTTTGTATTTTACAAAATTCAATGAAAAAATTATTTTAAATTAGTTGGGTGACTTATTAAGTAAAATATCAATAGTACATGACTTTTTAAGTGAACTATTATTAGTTAAGTGACTTTTGGGTTATAAAACAAAGTTGAGTGACTTTCGAAGTAAACAACTCAAAGTTGAGTGACTTTTTAAGTGGGAACTATCGATTGAGTGATCATTGAAGATATTAACTCTAAAACTAACACAGGAAAACAATTTAGTAACCGCAATGTCTAGGTATGTTTTTGTGCGCATTAAAACTAATCCTACAAATATTTGTTACCTTCAAATAGCAACAACATATATCAGATAACTCGGTACCAGAAGAAAGTCTGCTCAACCCACTTCATTACATATTAGTCATATTCATTCTATGCTATCAAAGTTTTCAAAATTGCCATCCATCAAACCTAGCGGATCCCTCAATTATCAATTGAGTTATCCGATTTCATTTTATTAACTCGCAAACTAATAAAATCAGCTCTCAATTTAACTCCATAGACTCGTAATTAATAAACTCAACTCTCAATTTTATTATCTGATTTCATCTCACTAAACCTTTAATTTCTTCTCGATTGTCTGGATTAATTAATCACTTTAAGAAATGACTTCTATCTCTTCAAAGTAGGTGTTAGCTACACATTACGAACATG